CTCCTGACCTTGAGCAATCCTCCCGCCTCGGCCTCCCAGGGTGCTAGGATTACAGGTGTGAGCCACCATGCCCGGCCTGTTTTTTTGTTTTTTGTGTTTTTTGAGACAGATTCTTACTCTGTCTCAAAATAGAGTGGCATCATCATAGCTCACTGCAACATCAAACTCCTGGGCTTAAGTAATCAGTTTGCCTCAGCCTCCCCAGTAGCTGGGACTACTGGCACGAGCCACAACACCTGGCTAATTTTTCTATTTTTAGTAGAGATGGGATCTTGCTCTTGCTCTTGCTCAAACTGGTCTTGAATTCCTGAGCTCAAGCAATCCGCCTGCCTTGGCCTCCCAGAGTGCTGAGGTTACAAGTGTGAGCCACCATGCCTGGCCCCGACCACTGTTTTAAGTGACATATATTAATATGTTACATATACAATGTTAAAGTGAAGATATCTTGGAATAATTAGTAAAGGAACATCCAGTGATCCAGAAAACCTTATGTTCTATCATTGTTTTGTTCTGAACAAAGCTCAATTGTTAACATTTTCTAGTATTTGTGAAATAGTTGACACATTCTTATTATTCAAAGTAGGAAACTAGTCTTTTCTTTCTTCCTTATTATAGGATAGGTATTCTTCTGGAACAAATGGAGACACTTTTAACAGGACTCCCTCTTCATCGTCAGGTATGTGTTAAGGGAAAAAGGTGAAACCCTTTTTAGGTTAAGGGTTTCATTTAGTGAATGAGGAGCAGTCTAGAAGACGTCTTATAGAAGGTGTTGTATATTTCCTAGTGAAAATTAATTCTGATTTCGCTATTTTGGGACGGGAGCATTTCTAGCTAGAGGAAGGGAGAAAGGGGAGAATGTAGTGTATATACTGTTTTATACGATTTAGTGGGTTGCTATAAAACCTTTGCCCAACCTAGAAGGTGCATATTTGGCTTCCAGGTTGCTAGAGCATTGTCAGGGTTCCTCACATAAAGGAGTTAAGACATTGGACTTACAAGATTGTTGAAGCAGGTTACAATGGTGGTCAACTGTCAGGATAACAATTGTTTGAGCCAAGCCTGCCGTACCATCAAGATATCAACTCCCCATATCCTTCTCTCCCCAGCCCCTGGCAACCACCATTTTACTGTATGTAATCTGAATTACTATGAATTTACTATGGGCCTGTGAATTTGAGTTACTACTGCTTTTAAGGCTGACTAGGATAAGGAAGAGGGTGTAGTGGCATCAGGTAGTAGTTTTTCCATTTCTCATACCAAATATTAGTGGATGAGGTAAAACATTTTATAGTCAAAGGAGCTGCTGGCTCGTTGAAGCCTGGCCTAAAGTGAAAAAACCTGTGTGGGGTAATTTCTAAAATGTGAGGCTAGTTTGAGAGTTTATCAGGTTGAAGCAAATTTAATTCCCACGTACATCTTAAGTTCAGGGTAAATCTATTGACAGAAGTTAAGTTTAAAAGAGATGCCTTTGATATTGTCAAGATGCACTTGCCTTTCATAAACACCTAAATGCAGTAGTTTAATATAGAACATTCAGATTCTCAAAAGTTTTGGAATTGCTACCTGCTGAAGCCCCAGCAAAAGGCTAATTTTGTTTTTCCCCTATGAAGTGTGTGTGTGTGTGTGTGTGTGTGTACTTGGAATTGTCAAAAAAGACAAATGGGTAAAAGTAATCTCTGCGTCTTAACATGTCTATTTCCATAGATCACTGGGTAATCAGGACAAACCTGGTTTTTTGAGGTATAAACAGAAGCCAGTTTTCATAAACAAGTGAAAATTTAGGTCTGTAGTATATTAAAGATTCCATATTTTGTGTTGGAATCTTCAAGAAGCTACACTGAAATAACCACCAACTAAAAGCCAGGACTTTTCTTAGCATTAGATCTGTGAATGTTTAGGTTAATGAAATGAAATAAGGTAATGAAAAATATTGATTGCTTACTTTCTTTTGGATAACAAGTACTTTTTGTAGTTCTTTTAAAATTTTTTTTTCATGAAAATAGGTTTTCTTATTACAGAAATATAAACCAGGCCAATGAATGTATATATATCTAAATACGCTTATTGAAGAAAATTTTAAGTAGAGGTAAAAGGAAGAAATAAAATGATCTGAAATCTTGGTCCCCCAATTTAGCCACCCTTGACAGTCTGATTTTTTAGATCTCTGTGTATATGCCCACATATATAATTATATTCCACTTGTATGTATGTTCTTTTTATTATAAATACCTGCCTTGCATTGCCTTTGCTTACCTTCCCTTCCATACCTTTTCATGCTCTTAAAATTGTATTTAGACATGTTTCTTTTCATTGTCTAATTCCATTTCATGGAATCCTGTTATACTACTATATCTTGCTTTTAGTTAATAGTCATGGAAAGCCTTCTAAGCAACTGGTATAGTGTAATTCTTTTCAAAATTAAGTGAAAAAAATTCACATTACCTGGCTTTAAGATGTCAAATATTAACAACTTACAATGACAAACAGTCCCCTTTCTCATCTTTTGACTTCCTAATATGAAAGATATGTATGTAGCTCTTCCCTGTCCCCCCACCCCACTTACATACACTTCTTTCCTTCCCACTTGCCTAATAGTTACCACACTTTTTGTTTAAAATCTATATTCAGTTTTTAGATCATCATAACTGCATATATATCATTCACATTTGAGCTACACAATATTACAGTTTCATTTTCTTTATTATCAAACCTTCTGTTT